CCATTATATATATATATATATATATATATATATGTGTGTGTGTGTGTGTGTGTGTGTGTGTGTATACCAGTAGTGGGATTGCTGGATCAAGTGGTAGTTCTACTTTTAGTTCTTTAAGGAATCTCCACACTGTTTTCTATAGTGGCTGTACTAGTTTACATTTCCACCAACAGTGTAGCAGTGTTCCCTGTTCACCATATCCACACCAGCATCTACTGTTTTTGAGTTTTTGATTATGGCCATTCTTGCAAGACTAAGGTAGTATCATATTATGGTTTTGATTTTCATTTCCCTGGTCATTAGTGATGTTGAGCATTTTTTCATACGTTTGATGGTCATTTACATATATTTTTCTGAGAATTGTCTATTCATGTCACTTTTGGATGGGATTGTTTTTTTCTTACTGATTTTTTTGAGTTAATTGTAGATTATGGATATTAGTCCTTTGTCAGATGTATAGATTGTGAAGATTTTCTCCCAGTCTGTGGGTTGTCTGTTTACACTGCTGTTTCTGTTGCCTTGCAAAAGCTCTTTAATTAGGTCCCAGCTATTTATCATTGTTTTTATTGCATTTGCTTTTGGGTTCTTGGTCATAAAATTCTTGCCTAAGCTAATGTCTAGAAGGGTTTTTCCAAAGTTATCTTAGAATTTTTATAGTTTCAGATCTTAAGTTTAAGTCTTTAATCCATCTTTAGTTTATTTTTGTATAAGATGAGAGATGAGGATCCAGTTTCATTCTCCTACATGTGGCTTACCAATAATCCCAGCACCTTTGTTGAATAGGGTGTTCTTTCCTCACTTAATGTTTTTGTTTGCTTTGTTGAAGATCCCTTGGCTGTAAGCATTTGGGTTTATTTCTGGGTTCTGTATTCTGTTGCATTGGACTATGCACCTATTTTTATACCAGTACCACAATGTTTTGGTGACTATGGCCTTATAGTGTATTTTGAAATCAGGTAGTGTGATGCCTCCATATTTGTTCTTTTTGCTTAGTCTTGCTTTGCCTATGCAGGCTCTTTTTTTTTGTTTCATACTAATTTTCGATTTTTTTTTCTAATTCTGTGAAGATGATGGTGGTATTTTGATGGGGATTCTGTTGAATTTTTGGAATGCTTTTGGCAGTATGGTCATTTTCACAATACTGGTTCCTCCTGTTCATGAGCATTATATGTGTTTCCATTTGTTTGTGTCATTTATGATTTCTTTCAGCAGTGTTTTGTTGTTTTACTTATAAAGATTTTTAAATTCCTTGTTTAGGTATATTCCTAAGTATTTTATTTTTTCTGCAACTATTATAAAAGTGGTTGAGTTCTTGATTTGATTGTTCACTTGGTCATTATTGGTGTATAGAAGTGCTACTGATTTGTGTACATTAATCCTGTATCTGGAAACTTTGCTGAATTCTTTTATCAGTTCTAGGAGCTTTCTGGAGGAGTCCTTGGGGTTTTCAAGGTAAACGATTATATCATCAGCAAACAGTAACAGTTTGACTTCCTCTTTACCAATTTGGATGCTCTTTATTTCTTTTTCTTGTCCCATTTATCTGGCTAGGACTTCCAGTACTATGTAAAAGAGGAGCTGTGAGAGTGACCATCCTTGTCTTGTGCCAGTTCTCAGAAAAAAATGCTTTCAACTTTCCCGGTTAAGTATTATGTTGGCTGTGGATTTGTCATAGATGGCTTTTATTATATTATGGTATGTCCCTTGTATGCATATTTTGCTGAGAGTTTTAATCATAAGGCGATGCTGGATTTTGTCAAATGCTTATTCTGCATCTATTTGAGATAATCATATGATTTTTGTTTTTAATTCTGTTTATGTGATGTATCACATTTATTGACTTATGTATGTTATACCATCCCTGCATCCCTAGTATGAAACCTGCTTAATCTTGTTGAATTATCTTTTTGATATGTTGTTGGATTCAGTTAGCTAGTATTTTGTTAAGGATTTTAACATCAGTGTTCATCAAGGATATTGGTTTGCAGTTTTATTTTTTGGTTACATTTTCCATGATTTTGGTATTAGGGTAATGCTGGCTTCATAAAATAAACTATGAAGGTTTCCTTCCTTCCTTCTTTATCTTATGTAATAGTGTCAATAGGATTCGTACTAGTTCTCCTATGAATGTCTGGTAGAATTTTGCTGTGAATATTTGTCTGGTCCTGGATTCCTTTTTTATTGGTAGTTTTTAAATTATCATTTCAATCTTGTTGCTTGTTATTTGTCTGTTCAGGGTTATCTAATTCTTCCTATTTAAGCTAGGATAGTTTATGTGCATAAAAGTGTTCATAGTAGCTTTGAATGCTATTTTGTATTTCAGTGGTGTCAGTTGTAACACCTCCTGTTTTATTTCTTGAGGTTATTTGGATTTTCTCACTTCTTTTTTTTTGGTTAATCATGCTAATGGTCTATCAATTTTTTTTATCTTTTCGAAGAATCAGCTTGTTTCATTTATCTTTTGTATTTTTTTTTCAATTTCCTTTAGTTCTGCTCTGATCTTAGTAATTTCCTTTCTTCTGCTGAGTTTGGGTTTGGCTTGTTCCTATTTAGTTCCTTGAGGTATGACCTTAGAATGCCAGTTTATGCCCTTTTCAGGCTTTTTGATATAGGCTCTTAGGGTATGAACTTTCCTCCTAGCACACTGCCTTCGCTGTATCCCAGAGGTTGTGGCAGGTTGTGTCAATATTGTCATTCAGTGTGAATAATGTTTTAATTTTATTTCGATTTCATTTTTGACCCAATGTTGATTCTGCCATGGTGGTTTGCTGCATCCATCATCCCATCATCTACATTAAGTATTTCTCCTAATGCTATCTGTCTCTTAGCCCCCCAACACCTGACAGACCCTGGTGTGGAATGTTCCCCTCCCTGGGTCCATGTGTTCTCATTTTTCAACTCCCACTTAAGAGTGAAAATATGCAGTGTTTGGGTGTCTGTTTTGTGTTAGGTTTGTGAGAATGTTGGTTTCCAGATTCATCCATGTCCCTGCAAAGGACATGAACTCATCCTTTTTTATGGCTGCATAGTATTCCATGGTGTATATATGCCACATTTTCTTTATCCAGTCTATCACTGATGGCACTGATGGGCATTTGGGTTGGTTCCAAGTCTTTGCTATTGTGAAAAGTGCCACAATAAACATATGTGTGCATGTGTCTTTATAATAGAATGATTTATACTTCTTTGGATATATACCCAGTAATGGGATTGCTGGGTCAAATGGTATTTCTGGTTCTAGATCCTTCAGGAATTGCCACATTGTCTTCCACCATGGTTGTACTAATTTACACTCCCACCAATAGTGAAAAGTGTTTCTATTTCTCCACATCCTCTCCAACATCTGTTGTTCCCTGACTTTAATGATTGCCATTCTAACTGGTATGAGATGGTATCTCAATTTGGTTTTCATTTGCATTTCTCTAATGACCAGTGATGATGAGCTTTTTTTCATATGTTTGTTGGCTTTATGAATGTCTACTTTTGAGAAGTGTCTGTTCATATCCTTCACCAACTTTTTGATGGGGTTGTTTGCTTTTTTCTTGAAATTTGTTTAAGTGCTTTGTAGATCATTGATACTAGCTCTTTGTGTGATGGGTAGATTACAAAATATTCTTTCATTCAATTGTAGGTTGCCTGTTCACTCTAATGATACTTTACGTTGCTATGCAGAAGCTCTTTAGTTTAATTAGATGGCATTTGTCAATTTTGACTTTTGTTGCCATTGCTTTTGGTGTTTTAGTCATGAAGTCCTTGCCCATGCCTATGACCTGAATGGAATTACTTAGGTTTTCTTCTGGGGTTTTTATGGATTTAAGTTTTCAGTTTAAGTCTTTATTCCATCTTGAGTTAATTTTTGTATAAGGTGTAAGGAAAAGATCCAGTTTTAGCTTTCTGTAAACAGCTAGCCAGTTTCCCCATCACCATTTATTAAATATGGAATCCTTTCTCCATTGCTTGTTGTTGTCAGGTTTATCAAAAATCAGGTGGTTTTAGATGTGTAGCATTATTTCTGAGGTCTCTGTTCTGTTCCATTTGTCTATATCTCTGTTTTGGTACCAGAACCATGCTGTTTTGATATACTATATCCTTGTGGTATAGTTTTAAGTCGGGTAGCATGATGCCTCCAGCTTTTTTTTTTTTTTTTTTTGCTTGGATTGTTTTGGCTGTATGGGCTCTTTTTTGATTTTATATGAATTTTAAAATAGTTTTTTTCAATTTTGTGAAGAAAGTTAGTGGAAGCTTGATGAGGGTAGCACTGAATCTATAAATTACTTTGGGCAGTATAGCCATTTTCATGATATTGGTTATTCCTAAACATGAGCATGGAATGTTTTTCTATTTGTTTGTGTCTTCTCTTATTCCTTTGAGCAGTGGTTTGTAGTTCTCCTTGGAGAGGTCTTTCACATCCCTTGTTAGTTGTATTCCAAGGTATTTTATTCTCTTTATAGCAATTGTGAATGGGAGTTCACCCATGATTTGGCTCGCTGTTTGTCTGTTATTTGTGTTTATGAATGCTTGTGGTTTTTGCACATTGATTTTGTATCCTTAAGTTTTGCTGAAGTTGCTTATCACCTTAAGGAGATTTTGGGCTGAGATGATGGAGTCTTCTAAATATACAATCATGTCATCTGCAAATAGAGATAATTTGACTTCCTCTTTTCCTAATTGAATACCCTTTATTTCTTTTTCTTGCCTGATTGCCCTGGCCAGAACTTCCAATACTATGTTGAATAGGAGTGGTGAGAGAGGGCATCCTTGTCTTTGCCAGTTTTCAAAGGAAATGCTTCTAGTTTTTGCCCATTCAGCATGATATTGGCTGTGGGTTTGTCATAAGTAGCTTTTATTATTTTGAGGTATGTTCCATTGATACCTAGTTTATTGAGAGTTTTTAGCATAAAGTGCTGTTGAATTTCATCCAAGGCCTTCTCTGCATCTATTGAGATAATCATGTGGTTTTTCCTCTTTGGCCCTGTTTATTTGATGGATTATGTCTATAGATTTGTGTATGTTGAACCAGCCTTGCATCCCAGGGATGAAGGTGACTTGATTGTGATGGATAAGCTTTTTGATATGTTGTTGGATTTGGTTTGCCAGTATTTTATTGAGGACTTTTGTATCAATATTCATCATGGATATTGGCCTGAAATTTTCTTTTTTAATTGTGTCTCTGCCAGTTTTTGGTATCAGGATGATGTTGGCCTCATAAAATGAGTTAGGGAGGATTCCCTCTTTTTGTATTGTTTGAAATAGTTTCAGAAGGAAGGGTACCAGGTCCTACTTGAACCTCTGGTAGAATTCAGCTGTGAAACCCTCTGGTCCTGAATATTTTTTTGTTTGGTTTGCTCTTGATTGCTGCCTCACTTTCAGACCTTGTTATTGGTCTATTCAGTGATTCAACTTCTTCCTGGTTTAGTCTTGGGAGGGTGTAACATGTGTCCAGGAATTTATCAACTTCTTCTAGATTTTCTGGTTTATTTGCATAGAGGTGTTTATAATATTATCTGATGGTAGTGTATTTTTGTGGGATTGGTGGTGATATCCACTTTATAATTTTTTATTGCATCTATTTAATTCTTCTCTCTTTTCTTCTTTATTAGTCTGGCTAGTGGTCTATCTATTTTTGCTGATCTTTTCAAAAAGTAAGCTCCTGGATTTATTGAATTTTTGAAGGGTTTTTTGTGTCCCCATCTCCTTCTGTTCTGCTCTAATGTTAGTTATATCTTGTCTTCTGCTAGCTTTTTAACTTGTCTTTTCTTGCTCCTCTAGTTCTTTTAATCATGATGTTAGGGTGTGTATTTTAGATATTTTCTTGTTTCTCTTGTGGCCATTTAGTGCTATAAATTTCCCTCTACACACTGCTTTAAATGTGTCCCAAAGATTCTGGTACATTATGTCTTTCTTCTCATTGGTTTCAAAGAACCTCTTTATTTCGCCTTCATTTCATTATTTATCCAGTAGTTATTCAAGAGCAGGTTGTTCAGTTTCCATGTAATTGTGTGGTTTTGAGTGAGTTTCTTAATCCTGAATTTTATTTTGATTGCGCTGTGGTCTGAGAGATTCTTATGATTTATGTTTTTTGAACTTGCTGAGGAGTGTTGTACTTCCCATTATGTGGTCAATTTTAGAAAAAGTGTGATGTGTTGCTGAGAAAAATATATATTCTGTGGATTTGGGGTGGAGAGTTCTGTGGATGTCTATTAGGCCCACTTGGTCCAGATCTGAGTTCAAGTCCTGGATATCCTTGTTAATTTTCTGTCTCATGTATCTTTCTTATATTTACAATGGAGTGTTAAAGTGTTCCACTATTATTATGTGGGAGTCTAAGTTCTTTGTAGGTCTGTAAGAACATGCTTTATGATCTGGGTGCTCCTGTATTGGGTGAGTGTATATTTATGAGAGTTAGCTCTTCTTGTTGCATTGATCCCTTTACCATTATGTAATCCCCTTCTTTGTCTCTTTTGATCTTTGTTGGTTTAAAGTCCATTTTATCAGAGATAGGTCTTGACTCTTTATCCAATTTGTCAGTCTGTGTATTTTGATTGGAACATTTAGCCCATTTACATTTAAGGTTAATATTGTTATGTGTGAATTTGATCCTGCCATTATGATGCTAGCTGCTTGTTTTGCCCATTAGTTGATGCAATTTCTTCATAGTGTCAATGGTCTTTACAGTTTGATATGTTTTTGCAGTGGTTGGTACTGGTCATTCCTTTCCATGTTTAGTGCTTTTTTTCAGGAGCTCTTGTTAGGCAGGCCTGGTTGTGATAAAATCTTTCAGCCGTTGCTTGTTCTTAAAGGATTGTATTTCTCCTACACTTATGAAGCTTCGTTTGGCTGCACGTGAAATTCTGGGTTGAAAATTCTCTTCTTTAAGAATGTTGAATATGGGCCCCCAGTCTCTTCTGGCTTGTAGGGTTTCTCCCAAGAGATCTACTGTGAGTCTGATGGTCTTCCCTTTGTGGATAACCTGACCTTTCTCTCTGGCTGCCCTTATCATTTTTCTTTCATTCAACTCTGATGAATCTGATGATTATATGTCTTGGGATTGCTCTTCTAGAGGAGTATCTTTGTGGTGTTCTCTGTATTTCTTGAATTTGAATGTTTGCCTGACTTGGTAGGTTGGGAAAGTTCTCCTGGATAATATCCTGAAAAGTATTTTCCAGCTTGGTTTCATTTTCCCTGTCACTTTGAGGTACACTGATCAAATGCACATTTGGTTTTTTTTAGGTAGTCCCATATTTCTTGGAGGCTTTGTTTATTTCTTTTTACTCTTTTTTCTCTCATCTTGTCTTCTTGCTTCATTTCATTGAGTTGATCTTTAATCTCTGATATCCTTTAATCTGCTTGATTGATTCAGCTATTGAAACTTTATCTACCTTTGTTCATTGAAGTTGGTGACCTTTGAATGGGCTCTCTGAGTGAACATCCTTTCTGTTCATGTTGAAGCTATTTCTCTCTGTTAGTTTTCCTTCTGTCAGTCCCCTTTGCTGCAGGTCAGCTGGAGTTTGTTGGAGGTCCACTCCAGACACTGCTTGCCTGTGAATCATCAGTGGGTGCTGCTGAAGATCAAAAATTGCGGTACCCACGAGATGCCAGCCAGAGCTCTCCTGTATGAGGTGTTTGTCAGCTGTGGGCTCCACCCAGTTTGAACTTCCTGGGGGCTTTGTTTACATTGTGATGTTAAAATCGCCTACTGGAGCCTCAGCAGTGGTGATGCCCCTCCCCCAACCACGCTTGAATGTCCCAGGTTAAGTTCAAACTGCTGTGCTGGCTGCGAGAATTTCAAGCCAGTGGATTTTAGCTTATTGGTTTTCATGGGTGTCGGACCCACAGAGTCAGATCACTTGGCTCCCTAGCTTCAGCCCCCTTTCCAGAGGAGTGAGTGGTTCTGTCTCGCTGGTGTTCCAGGCACCACTGTGGTATGAAAAAAAAAAAAAAAAACTGCTGTGGCTAGCTCAGTGTCTTCCCGAAAGTCCGCCCAGTTTTGTGCTGGAAACCCAAGGCCCTTGTCTTGTAGACACCAGAGGGAATCTCCTGGTCTGCATGTTGTGAAGTCCATGGGAAAAGCACAGTATCTGGGCTGGAGTGCAGGGTACAGTCTCTAATGGCTTCCCTTGGCTAGGAGGGGGAACTCCCCAGCCGCTTACGCTTCCTGGGTGAGGTGATGATCCACCTTGCTCAGACTCAACCTCCTTGGACTGCATCTACTGTCCAACAAGTCCAAATGAGATGAACTAGGTACCTCACTTGGAAATGCAGAGATTACCCGCCTTCTGTGTCAGTCTCGCTGGGAGCTGCACACCGGAGCTGTTCCTATTTGGCCATCTTGCTAGCATTCCCCGCTGGTATAATTTAAATTCATTGTTTCTTTGTGGATTTTCTGTCTTGATGACCTGTCTAGTGTTGTCAGTGGAGTACTGAAGTCCCCTACTATTATTGTGTTGCTGTCTGTCTCATTTCTTAGCTCTGTTAGTAATTGTTTTTTAAGTTTGGGACCTCCAGTGTTAGGTGTGTGCATGTTTAGAATTGTGATATTTTTCTGTTGGACAAGGCCTTTTACTATTACATAAATGTTCCTCTTTGTCTCTTTAAACTGCTATTGCTTTAAAGTTTATTTTGTCTGATATAAGAATAGCTACTCCTGCTCCCTTTTGGCATCCATTTGGATGAAATGACTGTTTCAACTCCTTTACTTTAAGTTTATGTGAGTTCTTATGTGTTAGGCGAGTCTCCTGAAGGTAGCAGATGGTTGGTGAGTTCTTCTCCATTCTGTGGTTCTGTATCTTTTAAGTGGAACATTTAGACAATTTACATCCAATGTTAGTATTCATCATTTATGTTACATTCATCGTGCTTTTTGTTACCTGTGTACTTTGTTTTTTTTTGTTTGTTTGTTTGTTTTTTAACATGTATTTTTGTTTTATGGGTCCTGTGTGATTTGTGCTTTAAAGAGGTTCAGTTTTTATATGTTTCCAGGACTTATTTCAAAATGACATAGAGCTACTTTTAGCAGTTCTTGTAGAGGTAGCTTGGTAATAATAAATTCTCTCAGCATTTGTTTGTTTCAAAATAACTGTATTTTTTCTTCACATATGATCCTTCATTTTGATGAATACAGAATTCTTTGCTGTTAATTGTTTTGTTTGAGGAGGCTGAAGATAGGGCCCCAATCCCTTCTAGCTTGTAGGGTTTCTGCTGATAAATCTGCTGTTAATCTATACGTTTTCCGTTATAGGTTACCTGGTGCTTCTGTCTCATAGCTCGGTAAGATTCTTTCCTTCATCTTAACTTTGGATAACCTGATGACAATGTGCCAGGTGAAGATCTTTTTGCATTGAATTTTCCAGGTGTTTTTGTGCTTGTTTTATTTGGATGTCGAGGTCTCTGGCAAGGCCAGGGAAATTTTCCTCGATTATTACTCCAAATATGTTTTTCAAGCTTTTAAAATTATCTTCTTCTTCAGATACATGAATTATTCTTAAGTTTGGTCATTTAACATAATCCCAGACTTCTTGGAGAATTTGTTCATATTTTCTTACTCTTTTTTCTTAGTCTTTGTTGGATTGGGTTAATCTGAAGATCTTGTCTTTGAGCTTTGAATTTCTTTCTTGTACTTGTTAAATTCTATTTCTGAGGCATTCCAGAGCATTTCACATTTCAAAAGTATGTCCAGAGTTTTCTGAAGTTTTGATTGTTTTTTCTTTAAGCTATCTATTTCCTTAAATATTTCTCTCTTTACTTATTATATGATTTTTTGGATTTCTTTGTATTGGACTTTGCCTTTCTTTTGTCCCTCCCTGATTAGCTTAATAAATAACCTCCTGAATACCTTCTTAGATAAATCAGGAATTTCTTCTTGGTTTGGATCAATTTCTGGTGAACTAGTTTGATTATTTTGGGGGTGTTTAAGTGCTTGTTTTATTATATTATCGGGGTTTGTTTTCTTGTTCTTTCTCATTTGGGTAGGCTCTGTCAGAGGGAAAATCTAGGGCTGAAGGCTGTTGTTCAGATTCTTTTGACCCATTGGGTGTTCCCTTGATGTGGTACTCTTTCCCTTT